TTGAAATCGCATATTTAATTAGTTTCCCTTGACAATGGCGCCAAGATGTCGCCGAAACGTCGGATTTATCTATCGTTAGTTTTTGCCTGTATATGTTTATCTAAATCATTGTTGATTAGAATTAGAAAATTAGGAAATAATTTCACTTACGTTTGTCAAAATTCTTTCTAATTTAAATGATGAGAATTTTGACAAAACGCGCGCAAGGTCATTTCCTAATTTCACTCGTCACCAAAGTAATGTTTCACCAGCGAAACAAAGCTAGCGCCTGCGCGCGAAATTGCGCCAGCGCTACACAGATGTTGCGAACTAATGACCAGGGTTGGGTTAACAGATGCGAAAACTTGCACCGGTGTATCATGCAAACGATAAACGACCACTCATTTTGGCATGAAGTCACTTTCAAAAATGCCCCCTTAACTAAAGGCAGTATTGCTTTGTTCCTGTACGGCTTTCTCCCAGGCATGCTCGGTCAATTGATTTCGGTGACGTATCCGAGACGGACGGCCCAAACTTTTCATCCCGGACCACGTGACCCAAAAACGATTGATCGCGGCGAAATATCGAAGCCTAGGAACGTTCTCCTCCGAAAGAGGCCGAAAGGGATTTATTTTTCGGGCGGGAAGAATCCTCTTAACGATATGAGTGCAGGCACACGGTTACTTTCGACTTTGCGCCTACACTCACTTCGCCTGCACTCACTTCGCACAACGAACGTTCGAACCTTTGCGGAGGAGATAGACAAAACGCAGTATAAAATCGAGTAATCATACTGTTATCCCCACCCCCCAACTTTCAGCCGTTGGTCATGGTTCCAAAACATCCACGCTTCTAAACATGCTTTTAAGATCAGAGCGATTTTTACCTGAGTTTTTGCATGTAAAGGCTAGCTTTTTCGACTACGGGTAAGCGGGGCACTTCACTTACCCGGGAAACCTCCCCCCTCCCGCCCCCGCCCACTCCATGTGAACAGGCCCTTGATTTCAAGTCTGCCTGGAGTGGACGACGGTGAGCAAACATTCGCGCTCATGTGCAGAGTATTTACGGAAGTCATTTGTTATTCTTGGTATAGCTGTTACCGGTCTCTATTCCCTAAAAGGCTCGTTTATCAATCAAGTCTGTCTTGGGTATTTCAGGGGAGACCCCCAAAAATTGATCAATATTATATCATTAACAGCGCAAAATTTGTAAAACAAGATCGAATGAATTTTTGTTCTTCAAATATCCACGTCTTTATAAATTTGCTAACAAAATCTACAGCGAACTAAATAAAAAAATCTCGAGGAACTCTTCATGAAAGGTTTTTTGTTTCGTTGTAGCCGCTACTCCGGGAAACAAAAGTGCAATAAGAAAAACGCCTATAAGCCTTTTGATTGGTTCTATTTGTGAAGGTAATTGAAATGTGCTACATTACAACATGACTGGGAAAACGTCACTCCAAGCATATTAAGCTAAAATCCTGCGGAAAACAATAGATACATGTTCTCAAAGCATCATAAACAACTACTCTAAACAAATTTTATTTACTTGAACATTTTGAAACGTGTACATGAGTTTTTAATTAACATATATTTACAGAAATATGGCACTAATGTCTGGATGGAACAACTGTCTGAACTATGGAGTTTACAGTTTGTAAGTTTAATTTAATCAATCGAATCACGTGTTTATCCACCTTCAAGTAGCACGCAGCTCACAAACATTTCCATCCAAAGCTCTATAGGTACACTGTTTCCATACAACTTGGAAAAATCTAAACCAAGAGAAGATATCCTTCGCCGTATGTCTTTTGCGTTTTAAAACATGCACTGATGACAAGTTAATGTTTGAATTAAAACGAACCATGATTAAGTGGCATGCTTTGATTCCGCCGCACATTACCCGATCCTTTTCGAGTTAACATCTTACGTTCCATCCAGACTTCTGGCACATTTAAACAGCGAAACAATATTTACAACGACAGCTTGTAACCGTATCACGCATTCGGAGAGAATGCCTTTACTAACACGGAGGTTTTTCCCTCAATTCCCAAGGTACTTCACAGTAATTTGCTTTGATTTTGCCTTGCTACGCTTAGTGATTGTTTTGAGAGATTAAGCGTCACATTTTCAAGTAATCCTAGCTAAGCCTCGCCCGCACATGTTTTCTCGAGTTCGTATTCGAGTTCAATATTGCTTCACTGGATTTTCTGTGTCTTATGAGATTGGTCAGAATGATTACCTTGGTTCTCGTTTTACGACAGTCAGTTAAACCTCTCTATGGGTTGAATATTAATATATGTTCGATAAGTCATTACTAAACGTTGCACTTCAGGTGATGTCATTCAGCACTCCGCTAAGATGATCTTGGGCCTCAGTGCAGCGTCATTGGGTCTCATTGCACACAAGCCATTTGTACAGTTTGAAAATTGTAGTGAGATGCAAAATTAATTTGTCTCTGCTCGAATCTGTAATAGAACTAATAACCTCGTGGGATCCAAAAATACCAGGAAAGAGATTTGGTAAGGTAAGAGTTAGTTTTATCCTCGACTTGCTTGCTGGAAACCTATTTTTGACGAAAGCACTGGCCCCTTCATAACTCTAGCGCTGCATTAAATATAACTGAACATACATGTCTATGTATAACTTATTTGTACTACTATAATCCCACTAAACATTATTCAAAGTTTTTAATACACGTTAAATCTTACAAGGTACGTACTTAAAGAGTTAAAAACTGTCCTAATAATAACAATTTTTAAGTATAATCGAACTTGTAAGCAAGGCAATTTTGGGCATTTTGTAGTTTCTGCCAGAGATTGTCTCGCATCCACTATATTTAAACTGTAATGCAAATCAGAAAAGTTAAAGAGGTTATTGATATTCATTACCTATTAATTAACATATGCGGAATCAAATAACAAAGGTACTGGACGTATATCTCTAAGTGACTATTTTCTGTTTATATACGTTATACTATGTTAGCACTACAGCTTAGATAATGTTACAAATTAAAGTAATGAATTTGATCATTCCCTGAAAGATGCCTGTCTGTGGAAATAACTTCGTTGCCTGGATTCTATCACAGTAGAGTTAACTAAGGAATATGAAGACTAAGATTAGGAAATAATGTCTTCACGACGTAAGGCAAAATCCTTGAAGAATATCATTGAAGAATTAAACGAAGTTTAATGTAAATCGATGTGATAAAAAGTGATATTCTCATATCAATATTAGAAAACTTGAAACACCTAAGAGAATTTTGAGACAGATGTTGGCCTAAAAGAAAGAGAAGACTTACAAACTGAATTGTTTCTTGGTAAGATTACCGAAGGAAGAGTTTTTTTTTTGATAGAGTGAGGAAACAGGCAAAATGTCTGGAAGAGATTTGTTTTATTGGCTTCTTAATATGCACATTGTGTACACATAATTTACCAGCTCAACATGCTGCAACAGAAATCAGCAGCCTTGGAACTTTCAGAGATGAGATAATTTCTTTTGTAAAATCCGCCAAAATGTACCTAGAGAGTACTACCACCGTCATTCCATATCAGCCGGCATTTTCAGCCGTGCAAGGAATTCATAATACTCTCCTCTATACTCGTCCTGTACAGGCGCCTGACGCTATCGCATTCATTGGTACGACGGCGGCTAAAACCGTGGGCCAAAAACTTTGTCACGCCTTGTGTGAATATTTCACAACGCCGCCTGCTTCCTTTCGTAAATCCGACAAAACCTTAGTGGTTTGTGTCTTCGAAATAGCCGCTAGTGTGGCTTAAATACAGGCGTTTAGTGTATGTTTGTAAAACTTCCTGAAGAAGTGTACTACTAGTTTAGTGTTTAATTTTAAATCTCAAAGAAAAGGAAATCAAACTTAAAAAGAAACCAAAGTTCTAATTAAAAAAAAAATTGAAAAACTTCTCGGTGTGCTTATACTATAGAGACTAGGCTGTGCTACTCAGTTAAATTTACGAGAAGTTATTATTTTGCACAAAAAATTGATTGTATACGGCCTGATAATTTTAATCAAAACTGGTTAAAAATGTGTTGAATAACTTTTAAACCGATACGAATAGCAGTTCTTCAGAGAAGACAACGTAATGGTTGTTCCGTGCAATCAAGAAAGATACAAAAAAAGTTTTAAATAACCCTCACTTTTCAAATTATACAAATGACTGAATATTGGAAAAATTATCAGATTTTGAGTTTTTCTAATCACACTCTATTTCTCTCTCTAGAAACGAGAGCAAATGGATTGCTCAAATCACCGACAAGAATAAGCGCTCGAGACTCGTTCAAAATCGACCTGCTTCCATTCAATGACNCTCTATTTCTCTCTCTAGAAACGAGAGCAAATGGATTGCTCAAATCACCGACAAGAATAAGCGCTCGAGACTCGTTCAAAATCGACCTGCTTCCATTCAATGACTTTACCAGGCCAAAAAAAATTTTCTAGTAGCTCTCTAATACGACAACTGTGCAAGTTATAACAAATAATCTTGAACAACTAATTTCTTTAAAGCCTTTACTTTCGTTAAGAGAATGCGAGTTACTTTGCTAATGCTATTGGCATTGATATGATTGCTATTCATCTACTAACTTTCCTTACAGCGTTACAGTGTCTTGCCTTAGAAAACAGGCGTCTTATGTGACGCCCTCAAGTCTTCTCCCGAGAAACGGCTGAAACTCGATGTGCATTTCGTTTGTTTACAGTGCTCAGTCAGGTTGTTCGTAATCCGGGTTTAAGAGTTAATGGAGGTTTAACGTTTTTTCTTTCATGGGTAAAGTATTTTCTTTGCTGATTTTCAGAGGACTTAAAGCTTGTAAGCCGTCGTCAAAACTGGGGAGAAAAAGAAATGGCTAAAGTTTATAAATAAGTAACACTAATTTTGGACTAGCTTGGTCGTGCTTTGAACAACCAGGCCTTGGTTAAGTATTACTGTAGGTAATCATGTCGGGAAGTAATATCTCGCTTGACACTACGAGAGACTATGATCTAAGTCTCTTGCCAATACTATTCAACTGAAGCTAACTGAAACACAAATCTCATATGCTATGACTGGATTAGTCAGTACTGCAATAGCGGACGGGACAAGTCACTGGGAAATATAAGTTGTAGATATAATAGGAGCTGCAGTTCTTTACTTGAATGAGGACGAAATCATCGCAACAGTATCCATACTTATTAATGCAGACGATTCTTCTGACTGTACCCTCAGCCACTGTAGGATGATCTTCACTCAACCAGGCAGGGTAGAGTGCATCACATCTGTCCATCGGTGGGCATGTGGTCACCATTTTTGTGCCTGCAGCTCCTTGGAAGCGATACCAGCCATTGAGTGTGTTGTCACATTTGTAGTCGTCTTCTGTTTTATAGTCATATCTTCTTTCCGCATCTGTCAGATTTTGGTAGTTCTTACATTTGTCAACTAAAAAAAAACAAACAAAGTAATACGTAAATAACTCTCCCCTCTTTTTGGGTGTTACTTGTAGTTTGAATACTGTTATTTTATATATTTTGTTCAATTTTACATCACTTTACTACTTCCGGTCATGCACAAACATTTCTAGATGATTTGGTCTTCGTTTCCATTTTTCGTGGGGAAAAAGGTTGTTAGAAGATCTCGCCACCGAAATACAGCTTCTACAATAGGTTATAATTAGCACCTTTTTGTTAATACGAGAAAATCTTCATTTTTACATTTCAAATTTCCAGTTCAAATGTTGTTGGGTAACCTGTATGTAAGCCATAGGTAAATAAATTTGTCCTTCATGCGATGATATATATCGGCTCTAAGTGCGAGAACATCGCAATC